TCCTTTTAGACCTAATTTAATATAATAATGATTATGTAAAGAGAGATGGTCATACCATAATAATATAAACATCATTGAGACATTAAGACCAATATGGATTAACAATTTTAAGAAACATCAATTAGTCCTTTCAAAACCACATTTTCCATGTTAGTACATCCATGTAAATCATATGAATGAATAAAGAAAGACATTCATTTTACATCATCTAAATTGATCATAGAATATTTCATAATATTGTGCATAATTTTCTACCCATAAGAGGCTTAATTTTCATTAATAAATAATCGCGCTATTCTTTTAAGTTTTTCATATTGACACCAAACAATTCCACAGTAGTCTTTCATAAGCCTCTACCATTTCCATATATTGCATAAAAATCAAATTCAATAATAAAGCATATTCAAATTAAAATATCACACACATGCTTTATTCCAGCCAAATATATCATGCAAGGAATTTATGCACCTACATAATTTGTAATTACGGACATAATATTCAGATTCCTTCCACTAGTAAGAAATCTCTATGTATTCACATGAAGTCCATATGTGATGCCATCAAATATTTATCATATATACTTTATAGAAGATGACCATGAAACGAACATGCATCTTTAATTTTCATACAACGTCATGGTTTCCATATTTCCACTTTCACGACTATTCTTATGAGCATATGCGACAATTTTATGCACAACCGAGATTCATCTTATAATCATTGGGGTATAACATTGATAATGTGTATATTATATTTACAAAACATATCATATGTATGCATGAAATTGAAACGCAATTTCGACTTACCAAATTTGGAGAAAACGAAATGATAATTTACCAAATCCAAATGCAAGAATCTGGATTCATGTCTTTCTACAAATCGAACTATCTCGTGAAGTTAGTGCCATCAAATGATCCACACGAACAAAATCTCGACCCATCAACTTGATTCATGCCATAGTTGTTCTATTCTCCATCGCCAAATACCGTTTGAGATTGTTGGGAAATTATCATCACCGAGGTAAAATGGAGAAGAAACTAACAGCCATAATATCAAGAAGATGAAAAAAGAGAAGATGAAGAACAAAATGAATAAAAAGGCAAAAACGTGGGATCGCTGTCCTCAAATGATATTTGCCCCCTCTCGAGATTGAATGAGGTGCTTAAGGGTTTTGATAAATAGTTTGTAGGATTATATCAAGTCTTGTAAAGGATTTAACACTAAAGTACAAGTGCAATTCTCCAAAACGTTAAAAACACAAAAGAAGATATTGAATATGAATGTAAATCAATAGTTTGATTCAATGTATAATGATATGTGGATCTCAAAATATTTTTTAATATTTCTATTGCAGTTGTATTGATCATTCATTACCTATTTATAGGCCTAAATCAATACACCACAAAATGGTGCTAAAATATTGTGAAAAATGACAACTTTTAATCCAAAACAGTCCCCAAATTTCAAATTGAAAAATCGACCAACGACTTTTTTAACACTATGTGTACGCATAGTATAAATCTTAAGTACGCATAGTGGAAGCAAATTTGATTCTGTTTTAGCCAACACACATCTCGTGTAAGCACAAAATTAAGCAAATTTTTCATTTTTCAATTTCTTTTGATTTTACTAATTCCACAATTGAACCCAACAATTAGTCCATTATCATTCCATTGATTTTGAACAACTATTCAACAAGCAGGGTGTCCCTCTTTATTGGAGCTTGCTCAAGTATCCTCATGGCAGACGCAATTGTCATGATAGAGAATGTGTTACTACAAGTAGTTCAAATGTTTGTACTCCGGAATCGACTTGATATTGACGCAAGATGTGTTGTAGAATTGCATTGTGGAATTTTTGGCTTATACCATAATTTTTCATCAAGTTTGTTCAAGATGGGCCGATGAAATTCTTAGAATTTTTTTAATTCTAAGTAATTAGACTCGTATAGTGAAAAAAGTTAAATTTCTTTTTTGAAAATTACGACAATCAAATTTTGTCAAAGTTCACTGGTTATTCTCAAGTATCATGATTAAAAGGTATGAAGAAGACAATAAAAACTTTTGGCAACGTTTTTAATCAAGGTAAAGATTGTTGGGAAAGTTCTCCCAAAACTTGCCAAAATAAAATGGACATTAAGTCAGTGTGGGAAATAAAAATGGGATGATCAGATTGCCTGGGTTCAGTTCATTTTTAATTTATGGAAAGAAGCTAAACCTTTTAATAGATGGCAAAAGAAATTGGCAGATTCATATGTTTGTGTTCATCTATTTTTTAATTAGAATTATGTAAAAAATTGAAACATACTCTCTATGAATTGTTTATTCTCTTTGAGTATGATTTGAGGTTTTTTTTTAACGGAAAAATTGTAAATCCACCATCCTGGATTTTCTTCCCTTTTTATGTTTTTCAGAGTAGAAATTAATAGACATGGCAAAGCTATGATATTATTTTCTTATGGTACTTTGGAGTTTGGGTGAGTAAAATTATATACATAAATATAACAAATTTTCATAATGTGGAAAGCTTGACAGTTTGTAAATTTTTCTCCATCTTTTTATTATTTGTTCTGTGTCATTGTACTTTTCTGAATAAAAATTGGTATGGAAAATTGACGAATTAGTCTCAATTTTCAAATAGGTTGTTATTAATTTTCCCAAATATTCAGAAAAATGGACATTTCTAATATATATTACACTCGAAATTTATCAAATATTGGTGATTGAAAATGTTTTGTCCACTCCGTTTCATTGGATAAAGCATTTTACTTTTATTGCAAGTTGTCTAAGAAAGAAGGAAACAAGTCAATTAGCTAATGCAGGAATAAGTTACTGGAAAAATTTTGAAAGCCATGAAACAAATAATGTGTACATTAATAACATGAGAAGATGGATTGAATTGGAAATGAGGTTGCAAAAGAATTTAACCATTGACAAAGCCATGCAATATCAAATAGCAAAGATAGAGAACACTTGAGAGAAGTTTTTGTGAGAATAACTTATCTTGATAGCTTTCTTAGTAAGAATAAATTGGCATTGTGTAGGAACAATAAGAAAATTTATTTAGAAGATAATGAATAATTTTTAAGAATTATTGAATTGAATAATTGAAATGATCGCTGAGTTTGATCCAATACTGAAAAACACATATGAAGTATTAAAGAGAAGGAAATTCACTATCATTATCTCAGTCATAAAATTCAAAATGAATTCGTGCACATTTTAGGAAGTGAGTTCGGAAGTGCAATAATTAAAAAAAGTTAAATAAGCAAAATACATTTTAATTATGCTTGATTGTACACTTGATATAAGTAATGAAAAATCAGTATTTCTTATAATATGATGTGTAGACATCTCAATAAGTCCATTTAAAGCTTTTAGGATTCCTTAAGGTAGATATCTCAGGGAAAAGATTGTTTGGTGACTCAATAGATGTTCTACAAAAACTTAAAAATTATGATAATGGTTCTAATATTAAAGGGAAACATGAAGGTGTACACAAAAAATTAATGTTAGAAGAGTAAATTTAAAGTGACTTTTGAAAGTTCTAAAAAATTATTATTGTGAATTTGATTGTTATTATTTGTTAAAAATAATATTAATGATCATTGTATGTAATGTTATTTCCAATTATATATCGAAGCTACATATAAAATTTGGTCTAAGGCCCTCAAATCTCAAGACTCGCATGTAAAATGTCATCTTTCAAAGCAATCTTCTAAAAAATTTCTTTTTTATACATATAAAATATATCGTAAATGTCGCGCCTCTATTATTATAGAGCTTTGTGTGGGTGCACAACCTATTTACCTTCAGGCTTCAAGGTATGTCCCAATTCTAAGGTCTTGAATTGAATACTTCTTGATTTTTACTCGATTTTATGATTTTACAACTTTTATAGAGATGTATGATGTTATCACAGTTAAACCTCATGAATGAATAGCTTTAGGACTAAGGAAACTTTATTATCTGATAAGTTCTTAATTTATTAAGGTATTTTTCTTTTCCAGTTACATTATCATTGTCGAATTTACATAGTTTTTTGGTGGGTTTATGAAGCAGAGGAACCAAATATAGAAAATATAAATAGTTTAGATGCAATGAATCTTGCAAGTTTGGGCTAGACAATAGATGTTCAAACAAATACATTACAAATTGTTTTCAATATTTTAAATTTCGATATACGAATAACATAACTTCAGAGAATTGAATGAATCATTAGATGGTGGAAGTATTTAAGAACTACAAAATGTAGTCACTAATTTGGCTCTATTTTATTCAAAATGTATCTCTCTCTCTCTCTCTCTCTCTCTCTCTCTCTCTCTCTTTTATTTTCAACCACACAATTTTCAATAAAATAATAGTTCGTGTAAATTCAAAACTTTTTATTCTTTTCTAACCACACATTTTAAAAAAATCACTATTCCAAAATACATTTTCGTAAAATTTAATTTTTATTAGAGCCCAAACAATGGCATAATCAAAGAGTTGAATCATCATAATCAAATGAGTGATGATATATAGCACCTAGGGCTACACACAATAAATAAATAAATAAATAAATAAATTGTAGAACCACAAATCGAACCGAACTCATTGGTCTGAAACCATTAGGTCGAGTCGATGTGGACTCGCGATTTTTTCCCTCAAACCGAATCGTACCATTTTTAAATGATTTGGTTTAAATTTCGATTTTTCACCCAAAGTTGACTAGAACCATTTTTTAAAAAATTTTAATTGAAAAATTAATTTTATTAAATTATAAATTTTATAGGTTTTTTTTTTTTTAAATACCAATTTACAGGCTACAGCAAATTAGCAATACAAATTCCAAAATGATAATTTGAATTGGGCCATACTAGGGTAGCCAATAGTGAATAATGAAGAGGCCCAAATTTTCAAAATGAACTTCAGACTTCAGAATTAGAAAAAGCCCAATTCTCTTAAAATTTTTAATATTAAATTTTATTTTTTTTTAAATGAGATATTGAACTTCAAATTTCAGAGGCTCCAATCTGGTTTACCCTTTCGAGCAATTTCATGCCCAAAGCTTCACATCTTCAAATTTTCTCCAAAATTGATCAAGTTTCCTCCATAAATCTTCAATTATTCCTTTAAAGATTATTTCACAACACATTTTTTTGAAAATTTTTAAATCAAAGCTCTTTAGATTCAGACCATTTTCCACCTATGCTGCAACGGCGCATGTGTTGCTCTGGTCTCCAACTCCTCATACCGTTGATGCACCCTAACCTCCGCCCTCCCCAAATTTCAGTTATTGATTCAATTTCTTGGTTCTTTGAGTTTTTGAAATTAATTAATTAATTTTTTGGCTTATTGGCTCCTACATATGTGATTTGTTTTAACTACATGTTTGTTCTTTTAACTGTATGCTTATTAGCTATTTTAACTATATATGAAATCAAACTAACTATATGTTTGTTCTTTTTCTTAGTTAGTTACCACTTACATGTATTACCTTATTGTTTCTTTTTCATAGATTAGCTTTGTCTATTGTTTTTTTTTTTTTTTATCTTTTTACAGATATGGATCAAATTCTAGAAGAAATCGGTGATGCAAATCCAATAGAGGATAACCCTGAAGATATGAAAACGGATGGGAAAGGCAAGAAGGGAAACAAAAGGTTTGAGGTGTGGGATCATTTTAAAATCTGCAGGGATGAGAAGCCAGAATGTAATTATTGTGGACAAACATACAAGTATCATGCAAAAACAGCGAACTAGTACATTATGAAATCATCTCATGTAGTTGTGCAAGAGGTACCCGTATAAGGTTCAAGACAAAAAAGCAAAAGAGAATAACTGACTATAGTATGTATAAAATTGATGAGCTTTCTAAGGGTATTGGTAGCTGTGAAGAACATGTCAAATTTGTTCAGATAGATGTTGGAGAATAGATTACAAGATTCTTCTTATTGTTCGAGTAATTTTTTTTTCAACATGTGGAAGATGAAGATTTTCAGTGTTATATGAGATTTTTTTTGCCCAAAATTTGTATTTTTCTTTAAGGATGATGGTTCAACATCAAGTTTGTTTGACTACTGATTGTTGGACATCGATATAGAATATTATTTATTTCTGTTTAACTGCTCCTTGGATTGATAATGATTGGAGACTTCAAAAAATGATTATAAGTTTCATTCAAGTCTCAAGTTATAAGTGAGATATGATAGGAAATAAGTTGATTTCTTGTCTTAAAAAGTTGAGGAATCAATAAGATTTTTTTGTATGACTATTGATAATGCCTCCTCTAATTATGTAACATTACTAGGTGGAGAAATGTTTCATATAAGGTGTTGTGCTCATATACTAATTCTTATTATTTGTAATGGTTTGAAAGAAATAAGTCATGCTATTTCAGCTATTTGTAATATAGTGAGATTTATTAGATCTTCCCCATAACAACTAAAAAGGTTCTAGGAGAGTTACAAGGAAGTAAATATTGAGTCTCGAACTTTGTTGTGTTTGGATGTCACAACTAAATGAAATTCCACTTGATGTTGTAAGCTGCTATGAAGTTTAAAAAAAAAACATTTTTTGTTTTTGAATGAGATGAAAATTATACAAACTATTTTAATAAAGACAGATGTGATGGAAGAAATATAAATGGACCATCAACACGTATCGATTGAAATTGAGCAGAAGTATTTGTTAAGTTCTTTGGGACTTTCTATTAAATGACTTTAAAATATAGTGGTTCGAATTATGCTCTCAATAAATAAGTGAAATTCATGGAGAATTGAATGAATTAGCTGAAGAGACTACGCTTTGATGAGATCCATGGTAAATAGTACATGGAAAAAAATATGATATACATTAGGGCAATGTTGAAAAGTTTAATCATTATTTCATTGCAATAATTCTTGACCCAAGATGCGAGTTAGAACTTTTAGACTCGGGTTTGAATTTATTTTCGAAGTAAAAATTGCAAAAACGTTGTTGAAAAGAGTTGAAGAGACACTCTACAAGTTGTATACATGCTATGCTATGAAGAAATGGCGACTCCAATCGCTCCAGTATCAACTTCACCCAACAATAATACCAAAAGTAGTAGTCCAAGTCCTTCACAACTTGCTTTAGGTTTTTTAACCAATTCCTTCTATTTCTAAAGCTAAACTTATGGAAAACATGAAATTTAAAAAGGAATGGTTTTATTGATTATTTGTCTTAACATTGTGAAGATTTAACTGATCCCAATTTTGACATATTACGTTGGTGAAATTTGAATGTATACAAATATAAAATTGTTTCCCAAATTGTCAAAGATGTATTAGCAATTCAAATATCTCTGATCACTTAGGATTCAACATTTTTCCATAACTGGTCTCATTTTTATTCCTTTAGAAGTTAATTGGGTGCAAAAATAATTGAGGTCTTAATATACACGAAGAATTGGTGCGTAACAGCAAGAAACTTATAATGCTTCGTCAAAATTTGAATGAGGTAAAGGCATCGGATAACTAGGAGAAAGCAATAAAAGGTGACATTTATTTTTCTATTATCAAGTTGGATATTTCTATGCATATTATTCCTAAATTGATTGTCAATGTATTAATAAACACTAATGAATATCTTTATATTTTCATATTAGGGTAATTAGCACAAACATTCTTACATTTCAATGTTATTGTGTAATGCGTTCATACCTTTCATTTTTTGGCACTTTTATCCTCAACTTCACGTTTTATTGTCAAAATCATCATTTTCATCAAATTTCTCTTGTAAAATGACAAATATACCCCATATTTAAATAAAACAATAAAAAAGAAAAGAAAAATTAATGAATAAATTGCAATCATATTCCCAAACTTTTTTAAAAAGTGCAAATAAGTCCAAATAAATTATCAAAATGTTAATTAGCATAAAACGTTCATACATTTCATTTTTATTGTGCAAAACAGTCATACTTTTCATTTTTTGACATGTTCATCCTTATTTCATATTTCATTACGAAAATCATTATTTTCATCTATTTCTTTAATTAAAAGTTGTAAAAATGACAAATATACACTCCTCGTTAGATAAACAGAAATGAAAAGATAAATAAAAAATAAATTGCGATCATATTTCCAAAAGTTTCAAAAAAGTACAAATAAATGTTAATTAACACAAAACGTCCTTACCTTATATTGTTATTGTGCAAAACATTGGTACTTTTCATTTTTCAGAACTTTTACCCTTATATTCACCTTTTATTGCGGAAATCATTATTTTCATCAAAACTTTCCTGTAAAATGACAAATATACCCCTATTTAAATAAAACAATATAAAATAAAATAAAATTTTAAAAATAAATTGCAATCATATTCCCAAACTTTTTTAAAAAGTGCAAATGAGTCCTAATAAATTATCGAAAGGGTAATTGGCACAAAACATCCATACCTTTCACTATTATTGTACAAAACATCCTACATTTCATTTTTTGACATTTTTACACTTATTTTTGTATTTCATTGCAAATATCTTATTTTCATCCATTTTTCTCAATTAAAAACTGTAAAATGACAAATATGTCCTTCTATTTAAATAAAAAAAATAAATAAATGAAAAATAAAGAATAAATTGCAAATATACTCCTAAATTTTTCAAAAAAGTACAAATAAATTCTAAATAAATAATTAAAAAAGAAAGTGGTTTTTTTTGTTTTTCAATTATTTATTTGTATTTTATTTATACTTGTTGAAAAATTTGGGAGTATATCTGCAATTTGTTCTTTATTTTTGTTTATTTAAAGAGGGGGGTATATTTGATATTTTACAATTTTTAATTGAGAAAATGGATGAAAACAATGATTTTTGCAATGAAATATAAAAATAAGGGTGAAAATATCAAAAAATGAAAGGTATGGACGTTTTGCACAATAATAATGAAAAGTAGAGATATTTTTTGCTAATTACCTTTCGATAATTTATTTGGACTCATTTGCACTTTTTAAAAAAGTTTGGGAGTATGATTGCAATTTATTCTTTAATTTTTCTTTTCTTTTCTTTTTTATTGTTTTATTTAAATAGAGGGTATATGTGTCGTATTACATGAAAAGGTTGATTTTCGAAATAAAATGTGAAGGCAACGGTAAAAGTACTAAAAATGAAAAGTATAGATGTTTTGTATAATAACATTGAAAAGTAAGGACGTTTTGTACTAATTACTCTTTCATATTATAGAAAGGTCGAATTATGTGTTACAGCAGGGGATATTGATCCAATTAGTGTCAAATGAGAGGTTAGAACGCCATTTTTATACTTCTTTCCTTTTATCAACTGGTAGAAATATTATTTTAAAATCGGAACTTTATGCAATTTTTGTGTGATTCTCGACTCTATGTTTTAATTACAAATTTTGCTAAATTTGATGACTGCGTGTTGAATTGAGGATTAATGTAATATGCTATCTGTTGGCTGTCCCTTTTTTAACCATGAATGTTTTTGCTAATGAAGGGGTGTTGGCATGCTACTTGTAAAAGTTTGAATGGAGAAATCTATTGGCTTGTTGCAAAATGCTAACTCGCTACTACTTTTTGGCCTTTTTGTTTGTATTTCGAATTTCAGTCAATATATGATTTTAATTTAACATTTTTAGTTATCGTTTAAATTTATATGTTAACTTGTTTAAACTATATTACTATAATGTCGATACGCAAATCATGGAGCAAAATCGAACCAATCGCAAATCAATGGTTTGATTTGATTTGGTTTGGTCTGAAAAATAAAATAGTTTGGTTTAGTTTAAAAAAATTTCAAATCACATGAAATGGTTTGAGTTGAAAATATGACACAAACCACATAAATCCCTAACAACACCGGTAGTGTTAGAATATTAGTGTAGATTACCACGCTTGATATGTTCAATTAAATGAATCATGTAAAATTACATTTAAGTGAACCTATCATTTCATGTCATCCAATTGACATATGGATTGGTACTTAATACTAATGGTTATGAATAGTATTACTCTAATCCAATGGATGTTAAGGACCTCTTGAAATACCTTGTAGAAAATAGGAATGAAAAAAATATTCGTCAAATTCGATATTCGCGGGCCCCGTCCTGAACGGGGTAGGGATTACTCACTTAATTGGACCGTCGCCCCGAGACGGGTATGGGTAACAAGGGTCCCACCCCGTTCAATTTTTTTTAATAAAAAATTCAATATTTTAAATGGAAAAACTCCACGAATTTCATTAATTCTAATAAAATATAGAACTAAGATTATCTAAAGAATATGATAGACAATAAATATCTTAGTTTAACAAATATAATCGAATAATTTAAATTTTAAAAATTAATTAATTAATTAAAAAAATTAAATCATATTCAAAAATGAAAGTGATATTCCCTGGAAATTAAGTCATATTCAAAAGTGAATTTCCCTGGAAATTAATCAACTCCTCCGAGCTGTGCTTTCTCTGGAAATTAAAAAGAGCAATAGGGAAATTCCCCAAAACACCAAAAATAAAGTAAACACAGCGGATGAATCTGGAGAACAAAAATTATTTACATGAATTCCAATTATTGTCACCACCACCACCACCACCACCACCACCACCACCAACTTAATCTGCCCTTGCAGCTTCCCAAGAGATGATTTCGGTTCACCGTCTCTGATTTCAGACTCTTGTTTCATTTTTATTTTATTTTAAATTTTTTGGGAGGGGAATATGAAGTCAAGGAGGAACGAACGTTAATTTTATGTTTCCAAGAAACAATTACTAAGTTCCAATGCTACAAATAAAATCATATTCAAAAATGAAAGTGATCAATCTCTCAAAAGTTATAAATGCCCTACCAGAGAATCAATATTGATATATTCCACTTTTCTAAATCAAAATCAGTTTCATTGTTTTTCAACTGATTACCTAGTATGAAGAACAAATGACTCAATTAGTGTTCATAAACAAAAATTATTCTAGCATTAAATCCCCTCTCACTAAGGTTTTGAAATAGATACGCCATGGCCAAAGCCACTAAAGCAATGGCCTAGAGCCGTCAAAGTTGGGGCCTCAAAAAATATAAAATCGTACGTGTTTATTCTAATTATAAGTCTCTCCATAATTTGTATCGTACAAACTCTTCATTTAAATATAAGTATGCCATTTATTTAAATATTTAATGTTGCAATGCTTGTAAAAAATTATGTATAAGGACCTCAATAAATAGTCCCCTGGAGCTTTAAAGTGCTCAGGACCGAATCGAAACTTGCCAAAGTAAATCAAACAATGGTTGGATGAAGAAGGATTCCTGTTGTGTTCATGGGCAGAGACAGGACTCAAACTTCGTAGTTAGGGCAAAGTACCGTGCATTCTAGAGGAGTATGCGTTATAAATTCTGTGAAACGCCGTTCTTACTAAGATTATGTCTTTTTCCAACTTACTCAAGTTCAATCGATTTCAAATTGACAAATCCTAATTAGGATATTGAATATATTGCGTAAGCATATCTAAGGTGATAATGGTAGTGATGTAACTATAACAATTAAAATTTTGATGGTCAAGATAAAAATTATAAGTGAAATGATCACTCATAAAATTAGTCCCAATCAAATTATATCATCCGATGTTCAATGAGTAGAAAAATGTTGATATTTATCATAACCACGAAAATACACTATTAAATTCACTATTTTCAATATGAAAATGAGAAATATTTCGGATAAGTAAAAATAAACTGAACCTTGTTAACACGAAAAAAATATTAAGCGGATGTTTAATAGGTATTTTTATGTAATAATGTATTTTAGAATAGTAAATTGATGTGAAATGTGTAGTTGAGAAATAAGAAAAAGTTTTTGATTTACGTGTAATATTATTTTAATAAAAAGTGTGTGGTTGAAAAGAAGAGAGAAAAATGCATTTTGAAAAAAATGGCTACCAAACGGAACCAAAATCCATGTTTGTTAGGGATAAGTATTAACCGAAAAATATTAAATTCATGTTAGATTTTAATTTAAGTCAAAATTAATAAATTTTGATTATATATTTCATATAATTCACAATTTAATTACACATTTAATGAATTTTTATCAAAATTTAATAAAATTTTGATTTTAATACCAGGGACTAAACGCTACAGAGACTAAAGATATTTACTTGTCATCATAGCAAAAATGAACAGACAACTGTACGTGCAATTGGTATATTCTATTATATAATTAGTATTTAGATGTAATAATCATGGAGGAGGGTCTCTTTGGGGAAGGAGTAAAAGTCATGTGGGAACCTGGGAACCAACAAGGGCACAATCTGCGATTTACCTCCACTAGTCACTGAGGGATCGGGCGCTAGAGGTCCAGGATTTAGTCCGGCTAAGCTGGGACACCTGGGTTATCAAAAAAAAAAAAAAAAAGAGTCATGACAAAGGTTAAAAAAAAAAAAAAAAAAACAAAATGTTACGTGTCATCTTGTAAATCGTGTTTTTACAGTTGTACCTTCCATCAGAACTATACGGAAACGCAAAACACGTTTTGTCATTTACCTTAACCCATGAAACATGTCTCTGATTTTTCTTGAATTTCTGCATATTCCACGAAGCGAAAACGGAATACTTCCCTTTGGATTATCTCTCATTCAATTTATGGCAGGTTTGAAATTGTAAATTCCTATCTGTTGTAAAAATTAGAAAAGAAATTGGTTAAATAATGGAAGGGAGATGGATTGAAGGGATTAAGATGGTGGGATTTATTAATAATCCTGCAGTAATGGAGACGTTTGTGGATATATTGGTCTGTACGGTGCCGATTTGGGTGGCGGTGATGATTGGGTTGGTAATCGGGTGGTCATGGAGACCGCGGTGGACCGGCTTGGTTTTTCTCGGATTTCGGTCCAAGTTTCGGTTCATGTGGACTGCGCCGCCCGGGTTTGGGGCACGACGGTTTTGGTTAGCGTTCACGGCGTTATCGGCTTTTTCGGTTTGTCGTAGACTTTGGTTTAGCTTTAGGGGGAGGACCCGGAAGGAGGAGGGATTGGCTCAGGAGCAGGCAGGTCAAGGGTCGATTTCTGGTACGGTTCCAGCTGCAGCGGCTAAGGAATCAGGTGCCGTAGCTGATGTCAGCAGTGATGAGATCAG